CGGCTAGGTAACATCTTCAGTGCTAAAGCACTGTTTAGCACTGAAGATGTTAACTAGCCGGGGAATGAAAAGTTTGCAAGAAAAGAACCAAGCTCAGAGAACCCCAAGGACTCCACAGTTCAACCCTGAGCTACATGTATTCACCTCCATTGGTAAAACAGGTAAGTATGAATGCTCATTAAGTATGAATGCTCATTTCTGTAGGATGATTTGCTGGTGATATATTTTGTTTGTTTCCGGGGCAGTAGTGATTTTATCTCAATATTTTTTATGAGTAGCTCCTTTGATAAAACAAGATGAAAAGGTAAAAAAGCTCTTTTATGAGTGAAGAATGCTATCATTAATTACCTCCTTGATGTACTTGATCACATTATGCTATGTTTAGAATCTGATCCACATTTCCAAACATAGTATAATATGATCAAGTACATTAACCTGATAGTAAGTTGTTCCATTGAAATAGGTATACATAGGAAAAAAGCAGCATAATTAGAATTAGTTTCGCTATGGACAGTTTCACTGATTATTCAATTTGACAGGGAGGAATAAAGCAAGCTTTTGAAGCTATTCTTTCTTTAGCCAATGTTAGGGTCAAGCTTATATTTTTCTAGTCCATGAGGGGAGCAATGGTGCAGCCATTCAGTAGTTCATGCAACTAAGTGACAGACAAGACCAGAATGAGCTGCCTTTCAGAGTAATATATAAATGTTTACCTAAAAAAAATCTAAACAAATACTTTATTCTGTTACTGAAACCAGTGGGATATTAAACTGCTTAATTTTTGTTAGACCATGATTGCTATGTTTTATAAAGTGAAATATTATGCTTTATTTGCTTATTTACTTAAAATATTGCTTATCATTATTTACTGAAAGTATTCTAGAGCAGTGTTGAACATTTTGAATTTCTTATAATTTAACAATATAACTAACACATACCTTCATAGCATGCCATAGCACATGGGCATCATACAGTGCAGGTGGGTACATCAGTCCAACCATAACTTCCTTGAAGTGATGTGACAGAGTCTCTTTCAGGTCTGTAAGCAAATCCTTTGGCAAAGAAAAATTCAGTCATAACTAATAGTTCTGTACATAGAGGCACTAATTCTTCAAAGGAAATAGTGCAAATGCACTGGCTTGGTATATGAAGCTATTACTTTTAAACAATTATCTGGTTATAGCAGGGATTTAAAAACCCATTCTTGGGGCCTTTAAAGAAGCCCTAGAATGTTTTATATAAATCAGCAATCTATTAGGACAGGGACATGGAACACTACAACTTCCATAATCTCTGACAAATGTTTGGGACTGATGAATTGCTTTTGTTAGAAGATGAAGAGTTAGAACGAATGTAGCACTGATCAGTGTAAACATGGCTACAAGATCTGCACATTTTTAACCATCTGAATCACTGTTTGCATGTATAGTACTTCTTTCAGCAAGAAGATGCTCACTTGAAAGTCTCTTTCCATTTTTAAATTTGGATAAGGATATGGATTTTTGCTTTTAACTAACATTTATCTGTATTTTGACTATATGAATCAAACCATGGGAATATTTTCTCCAGTGCATCTTGGCTGTAAACATTTCTTTCTGAATTGTGAATGACTGCTTTTTATGTCATGAGTTCTAGCAGTAAAGGGGGACTATAAACTATAAAAGAAATATAGCACCATTAATGCAAAATATGCGGTCTGAAAGCAATAATTAAATGTAACTACAGAACCAATGCATATAATTAACACAGCAGATAGAACAGCAGTGAGGAAATATATATACAAATTAAAAATGAATTTATAATGAAGAAACAATATGTAATCTTTGCTGAATGCACACTGACAACCATTAAATTGCACATGGAATAGATATTAATTCATTAAGATATTTACTACTGACAGCATGTCCATAGAAAAACTGATTAATAACACAAATGAAGACTAATTAAAAACTATCCCATGCAACTGGAAACGGGGCAAATGGAGAAAAGCAGTAAAAAAATAGGACAAGATGAGTATGAGCTGTCATTATTAACATTTTATAACGATCTTCGAGATAAGATGACAAAATAGTTGTAAAAAGGCATTCAGAAAACTTCGTGTTATGCTGGAATCACAGCTTCAATGTTCTTTAGCAATCTGAAATGCAATCACCTCTCAATATTATCAACTTTCATGATACTGATATCCCTTATTTTAGAAGTGAAAATAGCAATAATGAGTGGTCTTATTGTTCTTTTCCAATAATTCGTGGAAATAGTGGATATAGAGAATAAAAAAAATTGCATTGAGACATGCACCTGAGACAACAATGAAGAACACTGTAAATACAGTCTTTAGTTTACTTAAGTCTCATGCAATTCTCTACCTGTTTATTCTGAAGTAGGCTCTACAGTATTCAGTAGAGTCTACTCTGAATGAACTGATAGGATATTCTTGGGGATTTCAATCCCAGCAATGAATGACAACGAACTATTTAAAACAAGGATGTGCAATCAGTGGTCCTGGACCCACTTGTGGCCTCAAAGATCATTACACCAAAAGTAAGCAGCAGTTCCCAACTTATAGCACTTCTCCCACTTTTTAAATTCATAAGTAGGAACGTATATATGTTAAGCTTCCAGTGGACCCAGCACTCCCAAATGCAAATGTGCAAGAGAAAAGGAAGAAGAGATGAGAATGTCACCCTCCTAATTTGAAGATGCCATGATGTCACCATGCCACTGCCATCCTCCCCCACCCCCACCCCCACCCCATTGCTCTTAAAAGCCAAAAACCCTTTTTTTAAAAGAAAAAAACCTTAATGCTTAAGGTAAAACTTACATGATCACTACTCTCATTTCTTGCAACAGAGCCAGAAGAATTTGCAAATTTCTGCTTCTATTGTCAATTAACTGTAATGTACTCTATCTGAATTCAAAACTGTGATTAATTTTGCATAGTTCAATCTGATTTAGGGCCTCAAGAAGAACCTTCAATGTTGGCTGAATAAATCCCCCTTTTTGACCCTAAGTCTCTACATGATGGCCATGCTCACTCTGTTTCCCCAAGTGTCTATCTCCATTCCCCAGAAGAAAAGGTAAACTTCTTATTTCTGACTCTTTCCCCATTTAAGGCTTTAAAATACTTCAATTGTTGTTAATGGAGGCTGTTTTAAAATAGAATTCTTTTAAAACAATTTCAGGGAAGGCTCCCTATGGACAGAAGCTGTAACATGAATAAACATACTTTGAAATGGAAGAAAATGATTCCAGTCTTCTTCTGACCATGTCGAAAAGAAGAAAATGGCAGTGCACGAGTTTGAGGGTCTTTTCCATAACATATAACCATATTTAGCACTTTATTTTCACATAGCCAATTCATTTCTTCAGAAATGATCAATTCTCAAGTTTTTGGCTTGTCACAGTCAGGCTTTTCTACCATGCTGCTTTTCATCAGGACCAGCATTGCTGCCTAGATATTCAAAACATTTCGTGGGAACAACTAGTATGAACAAGGGCCTGGAAATAAAGACAAAAGCTCCCTTATAATAACTTACCCTGCCATACATGTTTCTATAAGCCTCGGCAATCATGAGTCTTTGTGAGTTGCAGCGCTGGGTTAGAATATCAATCAGCATATCTTTATTGCAATCTTCAAGAGAAAGATTTTTTTAAAAAAGAGTTACTTATTTGGCAATAATCAATTAATGTTTGAAACTGATGAGTTTTCCACTGGCATTTACCAACCGTGTTTAGCATATATATGTGCCTTTGACTTACTGGTGTAACACTGACAAATAGGTCATATTATCAGCTGCGTAGCCATATCTCTCAAGGGCAATGGATATGAATACCTCAAGACAAGAGATAATAGCTTTGTTGAACAAGAGCTAGTTGTAGTGTAGAGATTTATATCTGATCCTTATTTGTTGGGCTTACATCCTTCAGATACTGATAAAATATCTTACTTACTAATCTCCATTTTTTATAGCTGTTTACAGTGCTTTACTGATTGAAATTGCATATATTTGTTTGCAGATGGATAGTATAATAAATACAGTTTGCTAGCATTATTGAGCTTCTAGTAGAAGGCAGTTTTCTATGTGTGTTAGGGTAGTTAACAGCCCCAGCCATTACCCATCTATGGCAGAAGTGAATGTTAGAGATTAGCAAACTTCCAAGCCCGGGGTGCCAGTGCAAAATATCTGGAACACCTCTCCCTCTGCTTATGCTGAGATAATTGAAATCTTTGAGATATTATTCAGGAGTGCTGAAGTATCATAAAATTTTGGGGATTTGGGGTATGGAATGATGGGTAATCTGGCACCTACAGGAAAAAGTTGCCAACCCCTTCCACACAACAAATATTTACAGTTGACATTGATGAATGGTTTAACATGAAATCATTCCTAGAATATTGTGGGTTTGAAAACCAAGATGGTTTTATTTATAAGGAAGCCAGACTCAAATACCAACTTCATCTTGGAATTTAGGACTCTGTGTTTTATTTCTTTGATTTATGTCTTTCAAATCATTTACCAAACAGAATAGAACACCACAATTCTCATTTGTGTTTATTATTTTCTGTGAGAAGGAAGCTGTCAGAAAAAAAAAATAGGCTGCACCCTTTGGACTGCAGTTTTAAAATAAAAGTTTTATTTTAGTATTCTAAGAGACATATTAATTTTCTTTAAATCTATCCACCTTTAGAATTTAATTAGGATCATTAAAAGTTATGTTTTAAGTTAGCCTTACAATGTATGTCAGTTGGGTTAGTAGAAATCCCAAATAAAAGACAGCTTCTACATTTCAGCTGAGATATATACCTATTCCTTGTAGAGCTCCATCAAGCATCTGGGCATCCATAACAGGATCAAAATTTGGAGCTGGGAAGATTGTCCCCTGAATCTGCAGATAGAAAAAAGGTGTTAAACTTTTCAAAAGCAGGACAATTTTTTTAAAAAAATGTCCCAAAGAAACGGACAATTCAATTGGTTATTTTTTCTTTAGTATATACATATAAAGATATATGTAATATATAAATGTGAACAGATGCAGCTTAAAACTATACTTACTGTCCTGAATGTTGTATCTGCAATTATTATAGTTTAAATCATACTATAGCAACGGAAAAATAAATGTTTTGTGTGTTCACTGAGGTCTCTGTCATTTAATAAATGTAAGTTACTACATATATTTTTTAATCCATTCAGCTGTCTGATTCTCAGAGACTGCCTGGACAAGCCCCTGCAGTTTTCTTGGCAAGGTTCTTCAGAAGTGGCTTGCCATTGCCTCTTTCCTAGGGCTGAGAGAAAGTGATGGGCCCAAGGTCACCCAGCTGGCTTTGTGCCTAGGTAGGACTAGAACTTACAGTCTCCCGGTTTCTAGCCTGATGCCTTAACCACTACACCAAACTGGGTTTCAAGCTAATATTAACCACAAATATTTAGATTTCATGCATTAACCAAGGGCTGATGTCTTGTCCCCATGTAACCATAGTAGGTACATGACAGATCCTCATGATGTTACCTCAACTCATCCAAGTCCTCAGCTAAGGAAACTTATTGTGTTTGGCTACTCCAGTTTTAAAGTATGTTCCTTCTTCTCCCAACACAGTTTTTACTCTGGACACAATCTGTAACACTTCATTGACAATGTGGTTGATGAAATGGTCAGGGTTGGTCTCATGAGATTGCTGAGGGCACAGTCTCTTCTGACTGGACGCTGGGCACTGTTTTCCACAGCCATTCTGCTTTTGACTGGAGAATAGGCAAGTTCTTTCAATCTGGTCTTACCTGCTGTGGCCACTAGGCCTCCAAGGCCATCCCCATCTCAAAGACCAGGATCAGCCTGAACAGCAACTAACTAGTGATGATGATGGTTGGGGAACCCACACAGTGAAGTAGGAGAAAGAAAGATGGCTGGCTGCCACTTCAGGGTCCAATTTTACCTGTGAGCCTTTCAATAACAGCTGAACCTGGAAGAGACCTATCTTTTACTCACCAGGTCTCCCATAGCATGGAGCAGTTTCATGGTATCAGACAATTGATAGGTAAAGAGGTGATTGTGGCAGGAAAAGTGGGAAGAGTTGGCAGATGGCTCTTTATCTACCAGGTTTCTGATCACTTGGAGCTGACAGGCACCAACAGGCTGATTTGCTTCTTTTCCTGCTACCTGGCAGCCTATAGGATTTGTGGAAATGAACATCTGGCAGGTAAAGAGCCATCTTTCCCCACTTTTCCTGCCATCTTTCCTACTTTATTGGACAACCACTGCCATCTGAAGCTGGGGGAACCTCTGTGAATTATCTGCAAGCCCAGGGAAGCCAGTGTCTGATTCAGTGTCTGATCCAGAGAGCCTGGCATCTCTAATGGCAACCGCTCTTACTGCTAACTCACACCATTGAAAACTATTATTTTTTAAAACACTCAATCAGAATTTAGTTTATTGTAATTTCAATCGATTGTTTTGTGTCCTGCATTCTGTCATAGTGAAATATACATTTTGGCTAGTTCTGTGTGACCTGAAATTGCAGTTGTGAGGGGTTTTTTTTTGCAACCATATCATACAGCTGGATCATACTTAGTTTGCAATCAAATCCAAGATGTTTTTCAGAAATACCATTACCAAGCTAATTACTCTCCAACTGGCACCTATGCAGTTGATTTTTGTTTTCTATGTGACAAATTTTGCATGTTTCTGTTAAATTTCATTATGTTTATTTCAGCCCATTTGTCATCCTAAGATTATTTTGTATTTTATTTCTGTCTTTTGGAGTATTATTTTACCTCATGTTGTGTTGTCTGCAAATTTGATAAAGTTTCGCTACACATCTTCATCCAAATCATTAATAAAATATTGAAGAGTAGATGAGCCAGGACTGAATCTTGATATCCTTGTTTAATTTGATGAGGAAGTGTTGTTGAACACTCTTTGAGTATGATTTTTCAAATCAGCCATGTATCTACTTAATTATCATACCATCCAGTCCACACAATTAGCTGCCTAATCAGCATCTCATGGAGTACTTTGTCAACTACTTTGCTGAGTCAAGATTTATCATGTTTGCAGCTTTCCTACAATTGATTAAAAATAAAAAATGATTAAGTTTAGTCTGTGAAGAGTTGTTCTTGACAAGTCCATACTGGCTTCTTATAATTACCACATTATTTTAAGGCTTTTATGATAGATTGTTTCATGATCCTCAGAGGTATTCATCTTGATCTGTAGCCCCCTAGATTTTCCTCCCCCATCACTTGCTTTGCGTATGTGAAGACAGGAACAATATTTGCCTTCTTCCAGTTATCTGCCTGCTCTGTCTCTCCCTCCCTCCCCCCCTCCCCCCCTCCGTCTCCCTCTCTCTCTCTCTCTCCAAGCTTTTCTCAATTCAGAACCATGAGCAAATTCATTTGATACTTAAGAATGCAAATAATCTGGTCCTGGAGATTTCTTCTCATTCAAAGTAAAAAACTGAGCATATTTCTGTTAATCTCAAGCTTTATTAAAGCACAATTCTTTCCCTTTCATTGTGCTCTTCCCACTTGCCAGGTAGAAGACTATTTCTTCTTACTGGGGAACACTGAACCAAAATAGTAGTTGAATAGCTTTGCCTTTTCTGTGTCATCTGTTAGCATTTAGCTATTTTTACTGAGCAGCTCTTTACTGAGTCCTTTCATTGCAAACACATCTAAACAAGCTATTTTTGTTGTTCTTAGACTCTTTTGCCAACCTTGGTTCATTCTGAGATTTTCCTAGCAGTCTCTCTACAACTTTATGCTACTTATTTGTAATGTCCTTTCCCTTTTTTATGTCCTGTATTTTTCTCCCAGTTCTTTAGTTTTTTTCTGCTGCCACACTGGATTCTTTTAAAGTTCTCCATTTTGTTTGCCATTGGGCTTTTAGTATCTCCTGTTTAAGGAACTCCTGTCTTGACCATGTTTTCCCATTACTTTCTCCTATTTATAATTGTTCTGATTCTGTTAAATTATGCTTTTTTGATGTTCAAGATACATAGTCAACTTTAATTTCCTTTAAAATAAGGAACTACAACTATTTATTTATTTACTTATAAGATTTCTTGACCACTTTAATCTTGAATAATTGCATACCCCTAATGTTCCTGCTATTTCCACCTCTTTGACTAAATCTTCTGTATCAGTTAGCATAACAACCCTCTTGTGCCTTCCTCCACTAAATATAGTTCTAATATAAAATTGTGTAAAATAGTCAATGGAATAAAGCTTAATGTGATGAGCTGAATATTCATTCCACTTCAGAGTCACCTCTTGGTGAAGGGAAGGCAGTGAGATGGAATTCTGACTGAAATTTGGAAAGGAAAAAGTCCTTACGTTTGAAAAGTGTCTTGCCTGTAAACAACAATCACTTGATCATGCAATGTTGTGTGTTCAGGTTATCATTTTTACAAATAAGGACTAGGATAACCCAGACACCATTTGTGAGTGAGTATGAGTACTAAAAGGACAAAAAAAGGACATAGTTGCTTTCATCTCCCTGGTTCCTATTGAGATTTATTTATTCTTTCTCAAAGAAGGGGGGGGGAGGCACCTTTTTGCAGGGAATGGAACTCCCATGAATATTGGGTCCCCAATTCAGCCTACCTAAGTTGCTGCGTAATGCCCAAATGTAATATCCTCCACCCAAGAATAAAATTGTCCCTATGACAGCCTTAGGGCCACCTGAACCTTAAGCCTTATTTCAATTGAGCAGGGTCTGCTTTCAGAAAAATTGTCCAGGCAACCAATTCTGACCTCTCAAAAAGGTGATCTCTTTCTTTGGCAGCAGTCTCCTGCATAGTCAAAGAATATTAGACTGATACAAAGAGTGATAGCAGAGAAAGACAGGGAAGGAAAATAGGATTGCTCATAAGAGAAAATAGTCATTACAAGAGAGAGATAATGGGTGGTTCCAGCCTTTTTGGCTTTGACCAGGCTGGCTTCTTGCTTTAGACAACTCATCAGTTGGTGTACAGCTTTCAACTGCTTTCCTGAAGAAATGTGGGCCTCCACATAAAAAAGGCTGTCTACCTATGTAGTTAATGGTAGCCTAGTATATTAATTATATTTTATTAAGTTCTGAGCAGACATTATGATCTGATGGCTTTCCACACCTTCCCTCTCGTAGCCCCCAGCATCTTTTGAAAAGGTTCTCTGACAGTCAGGGAAAACTCTTGCGTACCATAGCTTGATATGTAGCAATATAAAGATTTTGTTGTACAGTTTTCCTTTCTTACAGACCACCCTTCCCAGTGATATAGAGAGAGGATAGATGGAGATCCTGTAGCTGTCCTGTCACATTTAGTTTATTTCAAGGTATTATTTGGAAGACAGTGCTTTACCTGCTGTTAATTCTGGAGACAAAGACATAGATAAAGGTCTGAAATTAACAATCTATGTGTATTTCAGTTTCATATTTAGAAAAGAGTTAACCTAGCAATGTACATGGTTTCCCCTTTTAAGATTTTTGGCTTTGTGGTACATTTTAAAAGAAACATACTCTTCTGAAGTGTATTTTAGAATCTTCATAGTACATATGGAAGTCTTGGAGGAGCAGGAGTGGGGTGAGGATTCAAGGGGCAGAGACAGGACAGAAAAATGTCCAGCTTTGAAAGATTCAAGTAACATATCCTCACTGATCTGAGTAAATTATTAGAAAAGGCATCATACTGGTGTCTTCATTGGATTCTAACAGCTTTAACACTGCAATCACTTCACAATAATTCCTTCTGCAGATTAAAGTGTAATATGTTTTAGGATGGGAGAACACATCATGAATCAATGTGGATAATAACCAGCAGAGTCACTATAGGTCCTCCTTGAAACAGAAAACATGTGCTTCTAACTGCTGTGAAACAAATCACAAAATACTGTGGATAATTGGCTACAGAGTTGTCTTAAACACAGCCCACAAAAAGTGAAGAAACAGCAACATTTTCAGTAATCACCCTCCTGCACTGATATCTATTGAACTCAAAGGTTTCTTCTGTACAGTCTGTACTATTTTTAACTCAAGTCAATACAATATAAATCAAGTTCTCTGTGCCTCCATTGTTGCAACATGGATTTTATCCAAAGGATTTATCAAAGAATTTAGAGAACAAAAAGAAAACTATCCCATAACTTTTGATTTCAACTGAAAAGAACAAGACTTGTGTCAGGTGACCTACGGCTAGTTCTGTATTGAGAACTGACATTTTCTCAGCCACAAATTTGATGATATTTTATCCAGAATGAGAAAAACAGGCCTGTGCTTTCATACTTCTGACTCCAAGCTAGAAAGAGGGAATGTTTGTTTTTGTCTTCATGTTGCAGGCAAATGGACTCATGCTTTGTTAGTGCAGTAAATTACAAACCAAAAATATTATTTGTTCTCTTCTTGATTTTGTAGTTCAGACATCTGTTGTTTGTTGGTTCCTGGGAAGTTCTTGGTTTGCTTTTGTAACCAATCCATAGAGATGCCAAGGCAAGTTTAAAAAGGAAGAAAAACATACTAAACAGGCTATGAATACTTCATTCACCTGCAGTACTACTTCTGACTTATTTCTAACATGTTTAGTAAACAATAGTTAGAACAAACTGTGGCTTAGCCCAGGGAAAACAATCTTTTTGAGCCATGAGGACACTGTTTCTTTTTAAAATGTTTTTAGGTATGTAGTATGAAATTTAAGCTAAGGGCCAGCAGGGCAAAGATGGACAGTTGTGTTAATAACTAGTAATTGCTCAATTTCAAAGACATAAAGTACAGAATAGGGAGTCCACTGAAATATGGGAAATGTGAGGACAAGCAATGGGTTTAAACTATTCTGAGGATAAGAGGGAATAGCATTCTCACACTGACAGAGACAACAGTTTTATATAGTTTTATTCTAATTTTTAATGAAGATTCTTATCTGTGCCCTGTCAAGTGCCTGAGAGACGTCTGCTGAGTTCAAGTCAGCCTAGTTAAGCCATGCAGCAGTCTGTAATTTACAGATAAATCCTAGTCCAGGGAGTCAGTCATCTAAGGGCTATGGGGAATGTTACAATGATGTGGAAGAGAGGGGCTGGAAAGTTTGGTCTAGTTTTTTGTTTGGGAGATATCTGAGCAGTCCCCGAAACACATGTCTTCAGTATACTAGAGGCTTGGTGAATCTATTTAGACATTTTTTTAAAAAAATGAAAAATCTGAATTATGACAACATGCAAAACTGAGGCCAAGGGGACCAACAGGCTGCTGGTCTCCAGCTTGGCATGGAAGATGAGTGCGAGTATTCTCTACCCCTTATTTTTTTGCCTGAGCAAATATTTTCCTTCCTTCTGATTATTGAATAATGATTTAGCAATATGCAATTAATCACAGCCACAATTATGGTTATTTTTTTAAAAATTTGCTGTTAGAAACTGATTTGCACAGCCTAGTAAAGGCTAATAACGGTCAGTGAGCACCAGTACAAAAAAAATGCTTTCATGTAATTGGTGCTAACTACAAGAGGGAAGAAGATGAAGCATGGAACCTGATTCCAATTTTCTTAACCATTAGCAGATTCTGATAAAATTTCCAACTCAGTGTGTTAAGGAAATCTTCATTCACCCTTCTCTAATATATTGACCTCTTGATGTACTGGAATTTAGTTTCTATAATTCTAGGCCATTGTCATAGTAGATAGGAATTATCTGGAGGACAACAGGTTGGGAAGACTGTACTATAGTACTAGATTATTTAGTCACTTCCTGTGCTATTGTGCTGGGTCTGAACTTGAATCAGTCTCTGTGAATGATTAGTTTCATTTTCCTTCAGATAATTCATGGTGCATAGCATTCAGTTAAATTTTGTGACTGCAAGTGCAGTCTGA